CCCCCCTCACCTTCAGCTGGGCCCCCGGGAGCGCCGCTACCGCCTAACGAAGAGGGGGAGGTGGGGGCGTAAATGCGGCGTCCGTCCCTGTGGAGAAAGGGGAGAGCCGGAACAAACAGGGTGGGCGAGGGCCTGGGGGAAGAGAGGTGCTGGCTGTGAAGGGGTAGAGCCGCGTTATGGGGGCGGAGTCCTAACCGAATAAAGTGACTGAGCATCTCTTATTCTAGGGAAAATGCTGTAGAAGATAAGGTGTCACTCTACTGGAAAAGTGAAAATAATACCATTTCCGAAGTGAATGGTACAAAAGTATTCAGTTATGGTAAGGATATGAAAGCAGTTATTTTATTTTGATGCTTATGTGGGCCTTTGTTACTGTACTACTTGAATGTATCAACTAACGGTAACGACCTGAGCTTTTTGTAACATCCCTGAACTTTTTTTCCCAGCTTCATAATTTTGAAGGAATGACATTGGGGTACACAGGATTTCTGGTTTTAGTCAGTACCAGGAATGTGCTTTTGAAGACAGCTTTCTGATGAACATTGCTTTCTCTGTTCTGGCTCATGATGTAGAGTGGCTTTGGGACACATGAGCTGGATTCTTTTCATATGAATTCCAGTTACAAATGGACTAGGGCTAGTGCGGAGCATTTAGGGAGAAGGGCATGTGGGAACCCAAACCCAAAATGCAAAAGTGCCTAGTGTGCATATTAGATCGTTGCAACTAACTGCCTCACTTTGACTCTCTTCCTACTGATCCACTTGTTAATACGAGCGTAGCTGCTACAAAGATTTTTCCCAAACTATAGATTCAGTAAAAGCATGCCCCAAGCTAGGAGTTTAACAAGTAGCCTGTCTTGTCAGGCTTACAGTCTTCATACGTAAGCTAGTCCTAACTGGGTTTAGGGTTAAATAGAGTGACTATTTAACTGCATCCATCATTCTTAGTTTTTTGACTTGTCTCTTGTTTGTTTATTGTATCTCTTTTTTCTGGATTTAATGTTTCTTTTTTTAAAAAAAAAGCCTGTGTTAATTTTATGTTTAAATTGTCCTACAAACAATCAGATGCCCATTTACTGAATTTGAAGTCAGCAGTACTGAGTAAGATGACAGTTTGGTTTTGACTTGCAATACAATAAATTCACATGTTTTCTTAAATTTTTTTTTAAGATCGTGTCTTTCACTCGAGTGACAACACTCAACAGTTATATGAAGGTGTAGCTGTTCCAATTATAGAGTCAGCTGTGCAAGGTTATAATGGTAAGTTTTTTAAAACTGTGTTTAAATCCTGTTTGTAATGTATTTAATAAGTAATTAGTGAAATTTAACCATCTTTCTAGGCACAATTTTTGCTTATGGACAGACTGCTTCAGGGAAGACATACACAATGATGGGAAATGAAGATTCTGTGGGCATTATCCCTAAGGCAATTCAACATGTTTTCAAAGTTATTTGTGAGGTGAGCAATTCCGTTAGATTGAAGTGACTGAAAGGACTTAGTAATATTTGTGATTGTTACATAAAAGTTAATTTTAGTATCAAGAAGCTTATGAAGGAAACGAATTTTTATTGGACCATATGTTGCAGTTGCTTTGCTAACCTTGCAAAGATGAGTGGTTTAAAAAAAGGTAATGGGACTCTAATAGTTGGAATCAAATCAGAACAAAACTAAGGTGGGTTATTAAACTGGCAAATGCACTAATCCTGGGTTACAAGTATAAACAGATACTCATTTATTAATGTGGTAGATAAGGTAATGTGAAGCTTTGTGTTTATTCTATTTTAAAACTTTAAAAAATTAACAGTATTAAAAGACTTTTTTTAGTGGGAAGAATATGACACTAAATTTACTTATTTCAGGCTTTCAAAAGAATCATAGGCTAATTGCTCAATGCTAATAGAAAGTAAGGAGAAGGTGTAAGTTAAAACAGTGATTTCTAAAACATCATCTGCAGAGCACTTGCTTCTGCCATGAGGATTTCAGGTAATCATTATCAGTTATGTGAAATGATCACTGCTCCTTTGAGGAGGTGCAGAGTACCTTAAGGGCTCTATAAAAGTAAAACTTTCCATGGTTGAGTCTATTGTGCAGCCTTTCCTCACCCCACTATTCTCTACCAGGGAGTCAGGGGAGGAAGCAGCAGCAGCAAGGTAAATCTAAGCAAGCAAGGAGAGAAGGCTAGGTACACAGAGATGAAAGAGCCTAAGCAGGAGGAAATTAGATATGGAAAGGGCATTTAAGTGGCAGAACTATCATCATGCTTCTGTAGGGCAGTTATCTTTTATAATCTACCAAAAGTGATGTACCATTAATGCAGCTGGAAATATGTGGGATAGAAGAAAAATGATTATATATTGGTAGATGCTAATGTGCAAAGAGGATAGGGGGAAAGAAATCTGTGGAGCAATATCCAGACATATACCTTTGAGTTAAGAATGATTGCATTAAGAGGTGTTCGTTAGTTAGTCTGTTATTTTTTTTTCTTTCTTTGGAACATTAGATTCCAGACAGAGAATTCTTGCTAAGAGTTTCTTACATGGAAATCTACAATGAAACCATTACAGATTTGCTTTGTGATAACAGGAAAAAGAAGCCTCTGGGAATTCGTGAGGATGTTAATGTAAGTGGATATTATATACTGTTTATTGTATCTGCTTGGAGTAAAAGAAGAATTTAAAAAAAAACCTTCAGAGGCAACTAGTTGAAAACTTTTCTGTGTTAAATGGTGTAATTGTTATCTTCGGAATTAACAAAAGGACACTTGATGTAGTAGAATAACAACAGTGAAGTTGGGCTTGCTGTTGCTGGTTTATCTTTATAGATGTTTGTAAAAGTAGACTTAATCCCTTAAGTTTTCTGGGATAGTGTATTTTGTTTAACTTTGACAGTGAATACTTGGGAGTTGTCTAGCTAATAAAACTTCTACGAACATATTAAGCCTCTAGCTGAATGTGTTAGAAGTGTTCAACATATACAGAGTTACTTTATCATCTTCATATCTACAAAGTAGATATACTTTTCTACTGTAATCATAGAATAGCCATCAGACTAGAACTATTCAGTGAAATGATCGATAGGGAAAAATAAATCTATAAATGCCATCTTCAGTTTCTTTATATTACGCTTTGTAGCAAATAATAAATTGGTGGATGGTTTTTTTCTTTCAATACCCTAAATGATCAATGCTTTTGGAAGTTGGAAAGAAGGGAGACTTATCAGTTGTATGATTATGTTCTTACGATGTTTACTGAGAAATATACTCCTGGATTCCCTCAGAAAATGTCCAGAAGGATCTTTCCCTTACCAGTTTTATTATTAGGAAACTTTCTGGATCTCTGTTTGATTCTTGTGCCTTTAGGCTACAGTTCTGGAAGTTCTCAACTTCCCCCATCCCTTGTGTTCAGAGTAAAAAGATGTTCAACTGATGTTGCTTCCTTTTAAGAAGGAAGCAAACTGGAATAAATACCATAATAGTTGCTGGTAATGTGAACCTAATGTATTGAAGTGAGTTTTAGAGTTCCGTAAAATTTATTACTGTTTTTGCTCTTAAGAGGAATACATATGTAGAAGATCTGATTGAAGAGGTGGTGGTTGCCCCTGAACAAGTTATGGAATGGATCAGAAAAGGTGAAAGTAAGTTGATTAGCCAATGTCAGCTGAAATCTTAGAAAAAGCATTGATGAATTGAGTATATCTAGAATCATGGCATATCTCTTTGAGATTATATTCAGAAATCAATGCTTTTTCAGATAGTTTTAAAGTTGTTCTTTTTGTCTGTTATTTCCAGTTTATACAAGTATTCTAATGTTGCTTTTTGACAGAAAATCGCCATTATGGAGAAACAAAAATGAATGAACACAGCAGCCGTTCTCACACTATCTTCAGAATGGTAAAAACTGTTTTACTATTAGGAGAGTTTTTATTATTTTTGAAGAGACAAAAACTTGATTGCACCCTCTTCTAGATCATTGAAAGCAGAGAACGAAGTGACCCTGCAAATGCAAACTGTGATGGAGCAGTGATGGTATCCCACTTGGTAAGCTGTACTCCAAGAGTTATTAAATAGGCATTTAAGTAGAGAATTTACTGCTACCACTTGTTTGAGAGAATAATGTTACTTTATAATGACATTACGAGCATGCTTTGTTAACTTCTTGCAGACATTCCTTAAGCGGAAATCATGTTTCTGATCATTTGTATAGAGACTCCAGAGGTGTTACCTAGAGGATATCTTCCCACCAAAGGGAATTCCAACTCGGGAATAGTTCCTAGACAATCCCTGCTGGATTGGCGAGTGTTATGCCCTTCCTAGGAGCATAAGGGGCTATTGTCAGAGTGTTCTTGCATTTTGTTAAACGCAGCTTCCCCTGCAATTGTTCCTGACCACTGACAAGCCTAGTGAAATGACTTGTAAAGTGGGTAACCTTAAGGCTTCTCTTATGCTCAAATTTAGTTGTTAAAAGAACACATGGCCTACAGCTGCAATGGCCAGAGGATGCATTCTTTTCAAAAGTAACCCTGTTTAGCATCTCTTTGGATGACTAATATATGAAATATCCTGGGCTGGGGGGAAATACACTGCTGATCTTCAGGGGAGTGTTTTGGTTTCTGAAGCCTTCTCTATACAGCCTTTCATTGATTCTCAGAAAAGAATTCAAATCAACTGGAGGAATGAAAACAATATGAAAGCATTTGTGCTTGCTAAAATCTGCATGAGCACTCTTATTCAGAAGTGGGAGTAGCATTAAGTCAATCACATCCATTGTGGAAAGAGATTTCTGTTCAGGCTTCATGTGGAAAAGCTCTGGGATTGGAATGTAAATTGCTTATGCAGTATCTGAGCAAACTACTGCCTGTTTTTCTCTTTCTCACCATAGCTTATGGAATCTTTTCTTACACTACCTTCTGCCCTGTCTCTCTGTTCCAACTCCACCTCTACTAGTGGGGAGGGAGGTGTTCCGGCCCTTTTGGTCTGTTGCTGCTTGGTGAAGTTAGTATGTGATTTTACGCTTCTGAAACAGAAACCAATTAAAGTGAGGGCTCCTTGCTCAGGCAAATCATTACGGGATGCTATAAAGTTCTAGCTGACTTTGAACCAGATTCAGAGTGAGGCTTTTCCTCTAGTATTTAATTTCTTCCTTTCTTTATCCCCACAATGACAGGCAAGGAGAGACATACAGCTGATTCAGGACAGGGTGCTAGGTAATCTCATCTAAGTCCTTTTTCCCATGCAAGATTGGACCAGATGATCTGTGATTTTTATGAAGTTTCCTACAGCTTGAATCTGTAGTTATCACTTCTGTATTGAGAAACTGTTTGTCTTTTTGTTACTGAGGGTAGGGGGAATTGCTCTGCAGGTTTGAGATACTGTTCAGGGTGGTATAATAGAGTTCATACAAACTTATTCCATGTCCTTATGGACCCTGAAAGTATTGGTTGGTATGTGTGTAGTAGCTATGGATTACTTCTAATAATGACAGACCTCTTGCTCTTCTCTAAGTGTAACTTTAGTTTATCAAATTCTTAGCAGAAATTTAGAATTAAGAGGATCTAAGACTAAATTGCCTCAGAACTAACCTGTGAAATATTACATGAATTTGCAGAACTTGGTAGATCTGGCAGGAAGTGAAAGAGCTAGTCAAACAGGATCTGAAGGTGAGTGTTAAATGAGGCTCTCCTGGTGACCACTTCTGTCAATTAACCCTTATGAGAGACTATGATAGAAAGGAAATTACTTGATCTATGTGCTGTTGTGTTACTTATTGTTCATAAACAATCCCTTTTCCCCTTGGTAGGGCAGGATCCACTTGGGAAAATACTGAAAATGGTGTAAAGTGCAAACAATGAGGTAGTAATGTGGCTTTTCTAGAATAGCAGATCAAGCAACGGTCATGCACTGAACTAATAGTGTGGAAATGAATCAGTAAAGATTCACCTGTAGTAAAGAAATCATTAGAAGGTTGTGGGGACTCATGTAAAGGTGAAGAGGAAATAGATGGCTCACTCTAGCTAAGAGGAAGCTTGACTGTTAACAATGACAGCATGAAGCTGCATATTTGCATTTGCAAAATTTAAATGGGAAACAAAATGAAAGTTCTGATGACCCCAGCTACGTACCACATAAAGATTGTTTATTTGTGATAGATTACTATTTTATTTTGATGCATTTTGGCTATTATAAAGGATTTGATGGTGACTGCTGATGGGTCATAGTGCATTTGGCACTTGGGATTTAACTCTTGAATAATCCTGCTGAGCATAACATGGCACAAAAGCTTGACAGGTTGAAAATGTATCTTAATGTTTTATTAATTATTCTTTTAATTTAAAACAAAAATACTATGTGATACCTAGGTGTCCGACTGAAAGAAGGCTGCAATATAAACCGGAGCTTGTTCATTCTGGGTCAAGTCATCAAAAAACTTTGTGATGACCCTTCTGGGTAAGCACTTGTGTTTCTACACCTGTTTTAACATAAGTCACTAAAACTAAGAAACTAAAATCCTTTAAATATAATTCTATTTCAAATTACCTATTACCTATAGAAAATATATTTACTGTGTTTTTTCCATACAAAAATATGCATTCTTTCTTTTTTCCCCCCTCATTTTCATCAGCTTCATAAATTACAGAGACAGCAAGCTGACTCGAATTCTGCAGAACTCCCTTGGAGGAAATGCTAAAACTGTTATTATTTGTACAGTTACTCCTGTTTCTTTTGATGAAACGCTCAGTACTCTCCAGGTAAAAGTTGTCATCTGTTTTCAAGTACTTTTCTGACTCAGGACTTCACTGTGGACAGGCTGAGGGGTGGAAAATGTAATCTGCTGGATCTGTAGTCACTTAAATCTTCTAAAGGTCCTGTGTGGGCTTGGAACTTGAAATAATTGTTTTGTACGCAGCATCTTTTCCCAGTCGTCATCTTATACTAGGTTGTCCAACTAGAGCTTTCTGGCAGTTGGAACAAAGCTCCTTCTCTCACCTTGCAGGCAGGAGACAACCTCTGTTTTCTCATTGCCTTTGCCAAACACAGAACTGCAAGTCTTTGCTAATACAAGATGTTAGACAGGTCCTAGAGGAAAGGAGGTTAATTGAACTATTCATGAACTGTATTCTTTGGTTAGGATTGTTTTCCTTTTGGGTGGTCTCTTGAGCGTTTTATTAAATAAAAAATAACTTGGTATATTTTTGCTTAAATGTTAGGCTTCACTTTTTAGGTATTAACATCAAGCAAAGAAAACTTACCTTTTCAATGTTCAGAATACATGAAAAATAAGCAAATGTAAATATTTCTATCCTTTATTATATGTTTCTGTTTATCTAATAAACTGGCCCTTTAATTCTCTTGGGAAATATGAGACAGAATAAGTCTTTTGATACTTTTGTTCTGTAACTATTGCCCATGAGAGAATATTCTTCCAGTTTGCCAATACAGCCAAAAGAATGAAGAATACTCCAAAAGTCAATGAAGTACTTGATGATGATGCCCTCTTGAAGAGATATCGCAAAGAAATTCTGGATTTGAAAAAGCAGCTGGAGGAAGTATGTAATAAACTTACTAAAACTAATCTATCGTTAGTACTGGTAGCTATTTGGAAACAATCTGTTTTAAACCAAAACCAGTTAAATTTGGAGGGGTCGGTGAACTGTTTAAAGTGATATCTGTCACTTCTGTTGAATAGAAATTGAAAAGGTGATGTGAAGTTTAGAACAACTGATGATAGTCAACATATCTGTGTGAAAGCTAACACTGGATGAGATCAACTATCTGAATTGCTTTCTTTCTGTAGGTTAACATAAGAAATAGAAATTTGTCAAGCCTCATGGCACACTTTAATATTGCCACATATCAAAAGGAATAGTTAACTGCAATATAAGTTATTGAATGTCAGCTAGAGATTCCAACTTAATTCATATTTTTTCCCCCTTTACTGATGTTTAATTTCAGTTTGAGTTGCAAGAAGTTGCAGCTGTGTAAGATCACTGGCAAAACTTATGTCATGTTATAGGCAGAAGATGTAGTCTCTCATGTGTTCATCTTTCTCCAAAAATGTATGGAGTTGAAGAGCAATCTTGCAAGTCTTGTTAGCACATACATCATAAAAGAGAAAGCACAGGAAAATAACAATTCTGAACACACTGTTTTGGTGAATTAAATCATCAAAATATGTTTGTTTTTTATATTAAAGTTATAAGAAAAGGTTAAGGAAAAATAACTGATCTGTTATTTTTAAAGATAATTAATTTGCAGTATAATCTTGCACCTAGAAGTGTGTTTGTTATCTAGGTAATGAGGAAAGTATTTCAGTACAGAAGAGTCTGTTGGAAAATCCCACATGAACTTCTAATTGCTCTAAAATATTGTAAGCTTATAACTTTATCAAACCTAGCTACTGTAATGCTGTTGCTTTACGACAGAATAAATCTTCAGTACTTTGAATTTTAAGAGACTGCATGCATTACAGTAGCTTGCTGTTATTTGACAATTGAATCATAGTTCTCAAAGAGCTTGAGGCTTCTGGCACCATGGGAAGGTGATCTTAAACTGTCTTACACTTGCAAGAATGCTTTTTTTGTGCCTAGAAAAATCTGAGGCTGTATTGTTTTGGGGAGTTTTGATCCTTTTAAATACTAAGTCTACAGGTAAATTGTAGAGTAAATTGTCAATTTCATTGTTAAAGATTAAAGACAGCTCTTCCAGACTTAAAAGAATATATGTGTGTAGTTGTTTTTAAATACGGGTAATTGTGTATCATCTGTAGGAGTAGTATGTGCTCTTAAAATGTCAGTTTTCTTAATATTCTTTTTGTGTAAGGTGTCTTCGAAGACTCAAATTCATGCTATGGAAAAAGACCAATTGGCCCAGCTGTTGCAAGAAAAAAATTCTCTTCAAAAAGTACAAGAAGATAGGATACGAAACTTAACTGAGATGCTAGTGACTTCTGCCTCCTTTTCCTCCAAACAGAATGCTAAAGTAAGCACCTGTTCTAGATCTTATTTGTTAACTCTGGAACACTTTGCAAGAGTTAATATTAAATACATAAGGTTATATTGACAATGAATAATATGTTTGATAAGCAATTTTCACATAACTTTTCTTATTTTTAAATGGGCAACTTTATTTAAAAATAAACTTTTGAGTGAATATCAATTCAATGTTGCCTTGCAGTGAACAGACTGCAGAGACCTTTGCTTTCAAACTGTTATACTGTAGTTTAATTTTGAAGAAGCTGCAAAACACTGTCATAGTTAGCTGCTGGTACTGTAATAGAACTAGCCTAATGCAACATCTACTCTCTACTTAGCGCTTTTGTTGTATCAGTTTTTCTGTAAATACTTTTTAAAGGCCAAGAGAAGAAGAAGAGTTACTTGGGCTCCTGGTAAAATAAACCAGGCGAATGTGAGTTATTTTGAAGACTTTGAAAAACCAAGGTTGACTGAAACCAAACGAATGAAAATGTCTCTGCCAACACTACTAGACACAGAGGACTGTAAGTATCTTCAGGAAAGAATAAGGAAACTCTGCAATGCAGCCTTGAAATGAGAAACAATCCCTTTTTAATAAATCTAAGTTAAAAAGCAAATTAATTTGCTAACAATACGAAAGCTACACTTAGTTGGCACTATACTACTCAAATTATGTTCCGTGAACCCAGTTTTGAAAGCATTACCTGCAGCTCATAAGGAAGTCACATTTGTCTGCCAGTGAAGAATACTGCCTAGAAGGGAAGTGGTTCCAGCACAATAATACTGGTGGTTGTTGTGCTGGAAATAAGGTTCATTTTATTTAAAAAGTGGGAGCATGAGTCTTACTATCCTAGGTGAAATTATGTGTAGCAAGTTCCTGTTGGATAACTGTGCAAGCATTACTTGGTTGTGAATAAGTTGACTCTCTGATAGCACAAATTAGAAAAAAACCAAACAAAACCACAACACGAACACCAAACCCCAAATCAAATGTCCCTGTACACACTTTCCAAGGAAATTACTTCCCCCCTGCCTTCTGAATATTGAGCTTTTAATTTGTTAACACCAAAGGTAAGAGCTGTGAGGTAAAAGGCAGGGTCTACAAATATTTCTGCAGCCTATCCCAACCCCCCCAGGTTTTTTGTAATAGTAGCCAGAGTTAGTCTTTAACACAGACTCTCCATCCAAACTGTGTTCTCCCCCTAAAAAGGAGGAGTGTGTGTGAACTTCCAAAATGCTCAACAAGAATAGAGAAGTCATTACTTAAAGATTAGATTGAGATACAGAGAAATTCAAGGACTTGCTAGAGGAGCGAGGGACAAAGAAAGTCAAACTGAAGACAGGAGAATAATTGGACAGTATTGTTGCTGAATTGCATCTTCTTACAGCCTTACTACCTATCCTTCTGTCAAGTTTTTTTGCTTGTGTGTGGATTGTCAGGGTGTTTTCTGTTTGGGGGAGTGATGCTTTTTTCTTTAAGTCTTGCAGGATACTGTTGAGTGGTGCTTTCCTTGACACTTAAACACTTTCCCTAGTCTCTAGTTAAGTATATATTCTGGATTTGGTTTAGTATTCATTAACTTATCATAAGGTGGTCAGCAAAAGTGTAAGGACTGGACTTCAGTGTTTTTCCCTTTCACAAGAGAAAACTGTAAGATTCAGAAGTCCTACTCAGTGTGCTATGTTTTTGCCATTGAATGATTGTTTCCAATGTGATAAAATTCTTTAAGAAAATAATTCTCGATGTCCAGTTTAAAGTCTACTGCTACTCTATTTTTTTAATACATCTTTCTTTCCAGCTATATTAGAGAATTCTGAACATGACAACCAATGTCTGATGGTTCCTGATCAAATTTCAGATGTAGAATGGACTGCTGGACCTAACATGAATTGGGTAACATAATCTATTTTGGTTGTCTAATACAGTGCATATACATTACATGCTTCTCAGTAAGATCAGCCTTACCGTTCTGTAGCATGCTAATATTCTTCTAGATGTCTGAGGAATTATTGTAACTCGTTAGAAAGTAAGTCTGTGAAGCTGGGGGATGGTTCTATGATTCTATGCTTTTGTGGTGAATGATCCAGTAAGCTTTGGTATTTAAACAGGACTAGCTGTGTGAAAAGACAAGCCACAAGGAGTATAATACTAAACCTGCTTGATCTTGTAGAACAGTTAACTGAGAGGGATTCTTTTTCTAGACTCAGAAAGACTTTGAAGAATCTGTGCAACTCTGTGAAGCATTAGCACTAGAAAAGGTAAGTCTGTTCTGTATTGTCTAGAAATAAAACTGACATTCCAACAACAACTTCTAAGTTTCTTGTACTGCTTCTTCAGGATATTGCTGTAAATGAGGCCAACGTCCTGCAAGCTAATTTTAATGACCTAGTATTGGAAAATGAGCAGTTGAAATCAGAAATAAATGAACTGAAGGAGAAACTGAGGGAAAAAGTAGAAATGGATGAATTTGAAGCACTGGAAAAACAAACACAAAAAGATCATGAGGTAAGGTGCATTGAAATAGAGAGATTAGAAAACATTTCAGCATAGAGAATTCTTGAGTTTATTCAGTGTGCATATACTTGGACGTTGATTCACAAACAGGTGGTGTTTATAAGCTAGGTTCAGCAAGAGAACGAATGAACCCAGGATTTAAACTGGATTTACTCAGTGTAAAATTCAGACTTTAATTTTTGGAGAGTTGCATACTGAAGTCTGGTTAAGCATATGTTTGTGTGTGTATAGATGTATCCATATATTTATGCATGATCTGAATTTCACTCTAGATTTCTGCAAGAGACAGTTGTTTTGCTGTGTAAATATGTTTCAGAAACGAACAAAACCCCTAAACCAACAACTTGAGATATCTCGACATGGATGTATTATTCTATCTCCTTCCTGATAGCTTCTCTGCAGACTACTTGTACATGCTAGTCTGTTTAATATCCTCTGACTGAAACTAAGGTTGGAGTTGAAGTTACATCCTTTTGCGTTGTTGTTTCGCGTTACAATTTAAGATCAACTCTCCATTTCCATTGTGTTCCCTATACAGATTTATGGATCTTAATCTATTATGGATCCATTTTGTTTATGATTTAGCTTGTGTTTAAGATTATTTTTAGAAGACTGTTTGTATGCTAGGCTAATGGTGTTATCTTCCTTACCAGCCAACATTCAACAAATCCTCAGTTAGTTTTCCCTGAAAAGCTTTTCTGTATCTAATAACAGCTGCAATGTTCTAAAGTAGCTTCTATTATGAGAATTGCTTTTTGAATGATTCATGTTTTCAGGTATATATCTGAAGACAATCCATAAAAGGTAAGCATTTGTTGATACCCATGTAGCAGGTTAATTACAGCAGTACTGAAATGTCACATACTTCACTAAATACATTAGTTGAAATCCATCACTTTAAATCATCATGGATAGATACAGGTAAAATCTATTATTCTGAATAATGATAGTAAATGACTGCTGACAGTAGTATTGTGTACCATATCTTCTACAACCATCCTCTGATTTTAAGATTACAGATTGGGTTTTCTTCTCAGTATACTCCTAACTATATAGAAATTCTCACAGGAGAGTACCTGTTTTAGAGCTTTTCACTGATCTTAAAATTACAGATTGGATTTTCTCCTTACCTGTGCTTGTGACTATTCAGAAATACTTGTAGATGAGTGCTTATTGTAAAGCTTTTCTAACAAAGACCAAAAGAAAAGAGTTCTTCAATTTTAGAAGAGCTTTTCTATCTAGTCTTCTACTTGTACCTTCTTGCAGAGGATGCCACTGAATGTGTTCATGGCTTGCTTTACTTCAATTTTGGCACCTTCTCACTCTTTTTCGTGAATAGATTAAATCACAAATGTCTGCACTGTGTCGTAAAAAACTGCTTAACATGACTAGAATGTGAAGTGTCTTATCTGTACAACTTCTGCATTAATTGCTTTGATCACATTGCTCTTGCTTCTTGAGCTGTTGCAGATTAAATTGTAGTTGAGTCTTTTCTAATTAAAGGGAATTTAAAACAGAGCTTTGCATCTCATCTATCTATTTGAAAGAATATGTAGCAACTTGCTTTCTAGCTGTTTAAATAGGTATGTGTGTGTACATGGTTTGCCCATGAATAGAAAAGAAAACACAAGATAGACCTTACTTATTTTCATGGTGTTGGCAACTAAAACTACTGGTGTGGGTGCTTTCTAACATCCTCTGCAATTTTGCTTCAATTTGCTTCACAGATACAACTAATGCATGAAATTACCAGCTTAAAGAATCTAGTTTCAAATGCTGAAGTGTACAATGAGGAACTTGAGGTGAGCCTGTCTGTGAATTTACATGTAATAAGACTTGTATGAGTTCTGTTTGGTTTGTTTATCTTGAAATACTGTATCTGCTGAGGACAACCTAGACATCATTGGGCTCTAGTCACCCTTACCAGCTATAAGGAGGATATGTCTAAAATCCATGGACACTTACTATGTGCAAAGGAGGTTTTTGTTAAATTCTTACCTGTAAAACTAAACTGGGCACTAGAATCTTCATTCTCCCTTTTTTCTCCAACTTTTAGGCAGAAATAAACTCCAAATTGCAACAGCTGAAAGAGAAAGAGAACAAAATAATGATTTTACAGAATCAAGTGGAAGAATTACAGAAAGCAGAAGTGGAAAAAAAGGACACATCTTTTTCAGTGGTAAATTTGAGTTTTCTGCTGGGTTGAGAGAGGGTTTTGATTTTGTTGGAGGTGGGTTAAATTTAGGTATAACTGAAAAATTAAATTTTGGTATAATTGAAATCTACTTCCCTATAGATGTTAAGAAAATTTTTTTACAAAACTTAAAACGCTAATTGCTACATTATCATACAGCAGGTACTTGGGTGAAGTAAAGCTACAGGAAATGCTGCTTTTTATCCCATCTCTCAAATGAGGCTGCTACTGTTCCTTTTAGACTAAACAAGTTTTCTGAGCCTGTATTTACATTTTAACCACATTGTAATGAACATATTTGCTTTATTATGGCTGTATATTTTTTGATTTCTTTGAGTATTTATCCGTCTTTTTTAGGGAGATTCTGATAAGCTAATTGAGGAAATTCAGCAGCTGAATAAATCCCTTTTAGATAGTGAAACCATAGCCTTGGATGCCAAAAAAGAATCTGCTTTTCTCAGAACTGAAAATCTGGAGCTGAAGGAAAAGATGGCAAGTACTTGTTAAACTGCGTTTATAGCTGTACAAAATGCTGTTAAGGGCCTGTCTGCTCCCAGACTAGTGAAGAAGGCAATCGATAAAGAAAAGATGTGGTAGAGTATTTGGAGAAAACTAATGATTCATGCTCCAAGTAATGTTTTTATTATATAAGTCATGGAAAATGGGTCTTCAGGAGAAAGATAGATTAGAGGCTTCTTCCACAGGAGTGGGTGGTTAGTTCTAGGCTTACCAGGAGAGAGAGAGAGCGTGCAAGTGAGCAGTCTTTAGGAAGTTACTAGGACATAAGACATAAACCTAATTTTACTAGAGAACAAAAGAGAGGAAGAGATGTGAACTTGCGGAAGTGGGACGGAGCTTATTTTGAGCTTTGAAGGAGTAAAGACAAAATAGTAGAAGCAGTTACACTTACCTTAGAGGTCAGGGCCATGTTTTATTACAGGATTCTGACAGGAATGCAGTTGTGAAGTTGTGGCATTTTCTGCCGTATTTATCAAGGCTAAAGTTGTTCAGAGTGACAACAGGGAATGTGACAGATAGAATATTTAAATGTTAAGCAAGTAGACTTTTATTTTGTGTGTGAATTGCATGTTTTGTTTTCTTGAAGAATGAACTCTTAAGTAATTACAAGCAAATGGAAAAGGATGTTCAATTGTATCAAAGCCAAATAGAAGCAGGAAAAGCCAGTTACAAAAAAATGCAAGCTGACTTGCAGAAAGAGTTGCAGTCCGTGTTTCAAGAAAACACAAGGCTAACTTCACTGATGGAGGGTAAAGTTCCAAAAGGTACGGTTTCAGGTGGTGCTTTTTTCCCTTCCCACTTTTCCCATAATGGGGGGGATAAGGAAGACTTTGGCTCTTCTTTTCTCAAATACTAGGAGGTTCTGTCAAGATAAAAATATTAATATCTGGTACTGTTGGCACATAGTAACTGCTTTAGCACTTTCTTGAACTACTTGGAAAACTGCATCTTAAGGAATGTTTTGTATTTTGCACAAAGACGGTCAAGTTAGTGAAGGCTGTTGGGGAGAATCTGAAGTAAACTGGATGTCAGCCTAACAAGTGATGACCGAGTTCGGACAAGTAGTTTCATCTTTTAAATGCTGGCCACTGTAAAACCATACTTTTCTAGAATTATACTAATATGACATCTAGAATGCATTATAAATCTTCTGCTTAATTTAAAACATGCTTTCTTCTCTCACACTCTCTTTTTAATCTAAACTTGCTAATTCTCTAGATCTGCACTCTCTTGCGGAGCTGGAAAAAAAGGCAGCTGACTTAAAAGGAGAACTAGAAAAAGCATTGAGAGAGAATGCACTTCTACAGAAACAAGTAAACGAGCTGTCAGAATTTCAGTCTTTACCAAATACTGTTGAGATACAGCAGAAAGAGGTAAACAAAAACTATCTTTTTCCTTGTTTTTATATTGTACTTGACTGGTAATGTATTCATGGAGGTCTATTAGATATGAAGTTTTAAAGCCAAAAGTTGTCTTGAATCAAATAACCTGAGATTTTACAACTAAGTTCATTATTGTTCCTCAGGTATTTAATATTTGCACCTAGGAATAAATTTAAGATCACACATTTAATCACAAAGTCTACTATGAATTGGGAATTTCTAGTCCAACACTTGCCTTCCTATTTGCCATAGTCACCATTGATAACTCTGTATGTGTAATGGTGTTTGATCCTGGTTTACTGTTCTAAAACTGAATTTTTGTGTAACTGATCAAAGAAAATTTCAAGACCTTTTAGCAGAAATGCTGCTTGAAAAGTGAGAGATCTAACTTGCAAATTCTGGAAAACTTGTAAGGAAACTTTTCTGTTTCCTGACAGATCAGGGCTTAGTCTCCTAAGTTTGCTATAAATATATCTTAAAGGGCTTGTTTTCAAACACTTTCAAGGTTTATTTTTCCTTAAATACTGCTACTAAGTATGTACAGTGAAAATTATCCAGGGCAAGTAATCTCATAAAATCATGAATGTTTTGCAAAAAGTTCTAAACCCTTCTAGTGGTCTACTTCCACTAATAAGCGAAACTTAATTAAGTGTTAACAACTCTATAAATTCTGTGTCATGAAGAAAGTATTGATACATCTAAAGAGAGGAGAGACTCCAAGGTTTTGGAAAGGGCTTGTCTGTCTTGCTTCTCTTTGTTTGCTGGACAGCTGCCTCCCAACAGAGCAAAGCCCGATGTACTGTGCTGTGTGTTTGCCTGCGCTTTATTTCCTATAGCTGCATATGAGCATGGTTTTTATTATGCAGCTATGATAAATAGTGATTTAGAAAATGCTGTTAATATTGCTTTTCTGTTGGCAGATTCTTGAAAAATCTGAGGAGCTACATTTATTAAAATTGGAAAGAGAAAAGCTTATTTCTGAAATAGCTGATAATGAAATTAAACTTAAACATATGACTGAAGAAATTGGAAAATCAAAAGACAGTTTAGCAGATGTGCAACTTAAATATGTGAAGTCTGATCAGGAGTTTGTAGCACTTAAACAGCTCCATGAAGAACTACAGCGAAAATATGTAGCTGCATCAGAAAACAATGAACAAATGAAGGTCCAAATAGATACTCTATCTAAAGAAGAACAAGAGTTGAAAACAACTTTGGATGAAGTGAAATTAGAGGTCAGTGTCAGCTTGCTCCTTTTTACAGATAAGATTCAGTCATAGTATTAAAAAGAAATGTTTTTGGAGAAGTATACATAATGCTATCATTGAAATTCCTCTAACATGAGTGAATATTACTTATTCTATGCCAGGTGTATAAGGTTGCAGAATTATGGAGCTCTGTGGTCTCTTTCTTCACAGGGAAAGAAATGTATATGTTGCTTCAGGTTATATGTTCTCCTTCTGTACTTGACCTTTTAATTCTTCTTTTCCTGTTCTTAAGTTATATCTAACTTATGCAAATTTTTTTAAATATGCTGCTATCACCTACTCTGTCTAAACTCATAGAAACAAAGTTTCCTCATTGGGAACTGGAGTCTGTTTAGAACAGAAGATCTTTCAAACCAAGCAGAATCACCACATAAATTGGTAATTAGAAAGGAAAAAACATTTTAAGAAGAAAAGGGAACTAAAGATGCATCTATTTTGGACAAGGCTTTTGGCACCGATACGGCTGTCATATTCCAGCTATGGATTTGATAACTCCTGATTTGATAATTCCTAAGCTACGCTACAGTTTCATGTGTGGTGTTATGTTTTAGTAAGACCTTTGCTGTTAAGGAGAAACCACAGGAAGGTTCCATAGACAAATGCTTATTTAATGAGGGCAAGAATATAAGCAGTGATTTAAAGTAAAATGATGAACTCCCTGTTCTCTTGTTGAAAGCTAGCATCTCTCACCTTTCCTAAGCTAATATAAGATTCTGTAAGAACATGTATGCATTGTGCCGTTTTGCATTACAATGATGGTGTCTGGCCTTTTCCTTTACAAACTAAAGCTCTCTAGCAAAATGAAAGAACTGGAAGAAAAGACAGCAGAGCACAAACAGCTGCTTGAGATAAGAGAAGATTTTATTCGGACTCAGCAGAAGTTAAATGAAATGGAGCAATTAAAAGAGCAAGAAAAGATTATAGAGCTGAGACTGGAGGCCAAGGATTCGGAGATCCAGGCAGTTCTTCAGCAGCTTACTGAATGTCAGGAAGAAATAAAAACTCTAACCCAGGAAAGAGATTACCTGAAGCAAAAAGAGGAGTCTCTCCAAGCTGAGACAGACCAACTCAAAGAGGACATAAAGGACACTGTTTCAATGGTAGGAATTCTACCTTTATAGAAATGGGCCATACATGTTAAGGGGAAGAGTGTAAGAACACTTATAAATTATATTGAAATATGTAGGGAAGTGGGGTTTTGTGTGGTTTTTTGTAATCAAGGAGTATTTACTAATGTTACAAAATGCTTGAATTTTCTTTTGTGGATTTTCTTTCTTTTATTCTAAAGAATATTTTGGCACATGAAGAACTAAGAAATGCACAGATTTCTCTCAAGCAATCCCAGGACACTGTCAAGAAGTTGGAAAAAAATGTTTCTGAAAAACAATCTCAGATTCTAACTGTTGAAGAGGCACTAGGGAAAACCATTAAAGAACTCGAAATACAGGTAAAACATTATGTAACAATTCAAAATAAAAATGCTTTTAAAGTGTTTTCCAAGACTGAAAACAAGCCTAGTTAGTCTGCTTATAGTCTCTTCTGCTTGTCCTTAGAAAATTTCTAGGCCTTTGGTAGAAAGTGGGCAAGAAAGTAGTACTGCCTGATCCAAGTCTTTACCAGTTGCTGATCTAGTTCTGTAGAGCTTCGAGCTGTAATGTATGCTCTTAATAAACCTTTGCTTAAGTAACGTGCCCTAGGGTTGTCCATTTGAGTGGTGGCCATTAGATGGCAAATGAAGAAGATATAAGGGTAACTTAGAGGTAGGAATGAGGCTAATGTTTTATAACAGTCCCAATGAGAAGTGTAACACATGGTTGTAAATGGCAGCTCAGTTCCCAACGTGCAGCAGAAGGCTGATCCGCTGGGTTTTGTGCCTCTTTGTTCAATAACTGTCAAAGAAGGATGCCAGGAATATTGTAGGTTACACAGTTGCTTCAGTGGCACAGTTTCTCTGGAGGGAGAATCCATAGTATGTGAGATTGGATTTTTCTTGAAGCATATCAGCTGCCAGACTCAGTCAGTCAATGGTTGTCAATTCAGCCTTTGCATGTTTTGAAACAGATGCGTAAGAAACACCTGTTGGATTATTTTTATTCGGCTTCTTCCTCTCAGACTTTTTCTAGATGAAAATCTGGCCAATGTTGCAGCAGAGTCTGCTAAAATGTTAGTGCTTAAAACAAGACAAGTGACGAAGGCCAAAGACTCAGTTCTGGAGTTTTTCTACTTTGATTGCAGTGGTTTGATGCTAAAAATACTGTACCGGAGTGAATCAAACAAAACTTCTGTATTTGATTTTTGTTTTGAATTGATGGAGATGCTGTCTTTGCACATTCTTTTATAGATATCTCAAATGACGGAAGAAATAAATATCATCACATCAGAGAGAGACCAGCTTGCTAAGGAAAAATCAGAAAATGGTAACTGTAGAGAAAGTGATCAGCTTCAGGTGCAAAAGGAACAAATCTTTTTCCTTACACAAGAGAACAAATCATTGCAGGATAAGCTGGACAGTTTACACTTGAAAAAAGAAGAGTATGGGGAAGGAACTTTGGTAATTATGCTAAGGCTGTAATGGAAAGCATGCTTATGTAAACTTTACTGGAGTGAAAATAATTTGCAAAACAAACTAGAAAAAAGGGTCCTGCTACTTGACTACAGACCATTAAACACCAGGATTATTATTGTTTACTTGAAATATATTCTATCCCTATTGCCGTATATGGACAACTAGTAGCAGAATATGGCAATCATTTTTCTGTAAATAGAATTTTAACTTGATACAGGGTGGTGATGTTCTGAGTTGATCTGCACAGAGATGTGGTTCTAAAATTAAGTAGTTGAAGCTAAAAATTGCCTATCTGGAAAGGTTGGTTCTGCTTTTTTGAAGGGTTTTTTTTATAGGTAGAACTGACTTTTTTCCTGGCAGTGAAAGGGACATTGCAGCCAATGTTTGCTGTAATTGGACATGCTGATTGCATACATGTTATATGTATATACACAAAGTGTGCATATATATATACTTCAAAAAAAGTGTATGCTTATATTTTAATACTTATGGGGGAGGAGTGGACAGATTTCAAGGAAATAATTGTCTTGACACCATTGTTATCTACTGTTGAGACTAGAAATATCGATAAGGTCTCTGTAGTTTGGTTTGCGGTGTTGGCTGTTGGGTTTTTTGCTGTTGGGATGTTTTTTGGTTAGGTGATTTGTTATTTCCCCCCCCCCCAGGCTTAAACTATGGCCATGAAATTCTACTTCTGGTAACTTGTTTCAGAAGTCTTCACTTCAAATTTTACTTTTACGTGTCTCTTACTTCAAGAAACCTGAATTGCATATCGAGTTCAGTCAAATATTGTTATTCTGAAAAAATACAAATCTCTCAAAACATTGCTTCTGTTTATTTTACATAATCAACCTGTCAAAGATCAGATATGTTTCTCTTAAAGCTACTTCCCCAAATGTGTTGACTTCTATTTCTCTATAAAATAGATGCCACAGATTCCAGAAAAATCTATTGAGCAAGAAATACTACTTCTGAGAGAAGAACTGAGCCAGGCACAAAGGAAATTGCATGAAATGGCGGAAGTGAAGGCCAATGAAGGTCAAGGAGAATCTGAAAAAACGGAGAGAACAGATTTTATTCCAAAATTGCCTGACTGTCAGGAAGTGAGCACTCTGACAGAAAAAGGAGATGATAATCTTAAAATACAACTGGAGAATCTCCAGACTGAGAGAGACCAGCTAAGAGAAACTATACAGGAGACAATTAGCATGGTAAGAAAAATAGTCCTATTCCTTTAGGATGACAGCTTTAGTAAACTTCTGTCTTAAATTTTGGAAGAGTTGTTCAGACTTTAATGTACTTTAACTGTGTTGTGTCCAAAGAATTCAGAGATGCAGGAAGAGTTGAAATGTGCTCACAACTCTCTCAGACAACATCAGGAGACTATTGTGGAGCTGAAAGGAAGTATTTCAGAGAAAGAAAATCAGCTCTTGAAAGCGCAAGAGGCACTGAAGGAAACAACTGATGAGCTGCAGCAGAAGGTCAGATGCAGTTTTATCAAATAAAGTAAAAATTCTATCAGGATTGGCAACGCGTGTCCTCTGTAGACTTCAGTTTGTAAGGGTTCAGTAAACGTAATAACAAAACTTCCCTTTTTTCCTGTGCTGCTTCTCAAAAGAATTCCACAGAAACGGAGCCAGTGAAAAGATAATCAAATGCAATTTGACCTGCAAGCTACAACCTGTACTTATAACTAAACATGCCTTAGTGCTGAATGATGGAATAGTATTTGGAATTGATACAGCTCTTTGACTTCAATGCATGTTCCAAGTATTAAAACTTTTCCATTTCTCATAATGTCTTTTAGCTATGTAACTCTGAAGATACTTGAGCAACTAAAAGGCAGTTTAGCTCATTCTGTAACTTGCTGCACTATTATAAATTTCTTGTCTACTTACTATTTTCATGTCTGAAGCTATTGTGGCTCTTAGGAAACATTAATGTTTGTTAGAATCAAGACTATCTGCTGTGGATACAGCAATGGAGTAATTTTTATGGAGTTATGGCCTGTAGGTTTTTACATGCTCACTTTTGTCTACCAATGAGACAGAAGCACTGAAATTTGGTTGACTTTTAAGCAAAATTGTTACTGCTATCGCAAGCAGAGAAAGATGTAAACTAACGGAGTTGTCTTCTGTAAAATAATCGAATTACAACCACCCATATGTACAGATAGCGCTTGTGAAATATGATCCTATAACACTCTTAAATCAGAACCTGATTACTGGGACAACAAAATTTAATAAAATTAGAATGTTACTGTTTTTTTCCAAACTAACCATCAAATTACTTCTACCCATGCTAGAGATAATTAGAAATATTAATACTGTTCTTATTTGTTCTTTCAGCTCGCTGAAGTAACTGAAAACCTGACTCATGTCTCTTCTGAATGTGGCAAGCTACTGGCAGAAAAAGAACAAATTGAAAGAACAATGAATGAGCATATCTGTCAGCAGCTTGAGAAAATCACTTTCCTTAACCAGGAGAAAGATGAGCTACAGCAAATGGTAGAGACTTGCAAAGCAGAAAGACATCAGTTAGAGGCTGACTGTCAGGAGAACAAGGACAGAGTATGTATAAAATGTCTTAAAAATAATCATTTAAGAGAAGTTGTGCCGCTGAATTATTTTGGTCATGAAGCCTTCTATTCAGTATCTCCTCCTCTCCCTTTGCTTGTTCATAGCAGCAGTTTACTAATCCAATCAGGATTTTGGAATCTGTCTTTTTTTTTTCTCCCCCTATCCCCTTCCTGCCCTTCTGGTGACTGCGCTGCTCCAGGTTGAGGCACAGTTTTGTCTGCCGCCTGCTGGGCAAACACTCCCCAAGTTCCTGTCCCATCTTTCAGCTACGGTGCCTTTGCATTTAGCACTGAACAGTAGAGGTAATCCCGGTTCACTGATGCCTAAGACCTTAATTCTCCTACTGCTTCAGCTCATTCTGGATTGATGAAGAGAAAGCTAAACCCAGAAAAGAAACAGATTAGCTGTCCTATTTCTCCTTCCTGATGTCTTATTTTGCGGCAGACTAGTGACTGCAATATTCCAAGTATTTGCATGAAAAGTGTACTTATGTTGACACACTGTTTCAGACAAATTCATTCTGATACCTAGTTAACAAAAATCAAGCTGACAACTTCTAAAGTTAAAAGGAAGTCTGGTAGACTTTTTTTTTCCTAAGAGAAATTCTGCAAATTAAGAAATATGAAAGCTTTATGAATTTAGCAAACCTCAGGTAGAACAACTGATCTTTAAGTATGTATTGCCCAAATAATTTAAGAACTAAAGTTGGCAAACTAGAATTATCAAATCTTTCATTTTAAATTTACATCTTGCTACTAAACAATTAGACAAATTGTTCCTGCAACTGGTGGCAGTTGCCACAAGAATAAGGGTATCTTTCATGGTGGGGTGTTTTGTGGGTTTTTGTTTGGTTTGTGTTTTTTCAAATGGTCATCTACATAATCTGTTCCCTGTCCACACTTTTCCCTTTCCTCTTTACTTCTGGCTGCTTTATTTTTTTTTCAACTGATAAAGACTATTTCTAAAGACTGTCTTCCTTTGGAGTTCTTAAACTAGGCATGGGGGAATGACAACTGAGGGTTTTTTCCTAAAGTAAAAGACTGATAGTTCTCTCATAGAAATTCAAATGCTTTGACTTATTGTTCTTAACTCCTGATAAGCAAAACTTAGTCCTACTGAGTGAACATCCACGTAATGCCTTGTTCTGCAGTCTTTAAAACTTCTGACAGAAGTGGAAAATCTTCAGGAACAACTAAGGCATCAGAAAGAGCAAGCTGATATCCAGAAGAACATGCTAGCAAATGGAGAAGAGAAATTGCAAAATACTGAAAAAAATCTAAATGAAGAAATAAACAAACTGAAAGAAAAGGCAAGTACAGAAATAAGAAAGTCTTAGAAATAATTTAGAGGATGTTCCATCAAGGACTTGTTAGAATAACAGGTATTTCCCCCATAATAATTTGTGCTGCTTTATTGGTCCAATAGATAATGTCATGGTAATACAATTTAGCAACAGAGGAAGAATTTTTGCTAATAGTTATGTGTTAATTTTATACATTTCTAAAATATTTTTTTAATAGGTAGTCAAGTTGAATGAGGACTTAAATTTGGTAACTGAGGAAAGGTACCAGCTACTGGGAGAACTGAAGGAAAAGACTGAGACTGAAAGCGGTAAACTTCAGCAGCTGGAGAAACAGTGTGATTTATTAGCACAAGAGAGAGATCAGCTCCAGAAAGCGCTGGAAGATATTCGAGCAGAGAAGAACAAACTGGAGATTAACCTACAGGAGAGTAGTGATAAGGTGCTTTATCTCTGATTATAGTACCTATAAATGCTGGGTAGAGGAAGATGGTTAATTCTTGAAGCTGTCTTGAAAAAAATCTTTACCAGTATTAATGTTACATACTAGAGTGAAGAATATTGGCATGCTTTAATTCCTGTCTTGTGGAATGGCATTTAAAGATGTATGTAAATGCTTCTGAAAGTCTTAACTGAGGGTGCTTTATTTAGGAATAAATGAGGAACCAGAAAATACCAAAACACTTAACAGGCATTTTTTAAATGAATTTGATTAAAAGGTGTCTTTTGTAGTTGACCTCCAAAGTTTTGAAACTAAAGCTGACAAATTCTGACACTTTTATTTTCTCTTCTGGATGAGGTATATCTTCACAGCGTAAGAGAAGTGAATTGGATGGTACCCATTGAGCAGCAGTCCTTGTTCAGATATTGAGTAATCACTTCAAATATCTGTTGTTAATTCAAATCTATGGTGGGAGGAGAATCTTCTTACTATCACTACCAATATCTTCCAATTCACCTGGGTTTTAGTATCAGTTGTCTTGCTGTAAAACTTCAACTTCACTAGAAATTCAGAGGTTTAGTGAAAGGAATGCTAGTTCTATAATTATCAAAGATACTTTAACTCTACTCTGACAAGTCCAACTCCTAAAAATGTGTTAAGTAATAATTTCTAGATAGTTCTTGATGTGAACCCTACTTGGATTACATCTCTGCTTGCTGTTACTTATCTGTGTAAACAGGGATTGCAGAAAATATGTCCAAACATGTTTGTAGCATACTTCATCTAATTCTTTACGTTACTAAGGACTTATCATTATGCTAGTTAGCAGGCTTTGCTTAAGGAAAGGAGAAACTTTTAAAGACAAAACTGAACTTCTTGTATTCAAACTAAAGAAGTCTTTTTGGTGCCAAGTATTTTGATTCCTTTGAAATATTGAATGGCCTGATATGTGTGAGGTAGATTCACATGCTCAGAACTTAATTTTGTATCTGTTGCTCTGTTTTTACTCCGTTTTTACTCCAGATTCTTGAAGCCGAAAAGGAATTGAGGTGGCAACAAGAACTCCTCAGCAATGAGAAGATCAAAGCTGAGGAAAGGGAAGAACATTTGTTAAAGGTTCAGAGGCGGTCAGATATTTTGGAGGACAGCCTAACAAACAAGGTGAGGAGTTTTGGTTTTTAGTAGCTATTCTGTCTTCTGATGTTTTATCGCTGATGTGCTAAACTCTTGCTCAAGACAAATCCTATTTAATTTCTAATTCTCAGCGCATCATTTTATACAGGTGCTAAACAAGCATGAACATGGGCAAAGGATTTTGTACAAGTTTCTTTAGTGATGTTTAGAATTAGCATCTGCAACTTGGCTCAGCCTCATAACAAGTTGGGTTGGTCACTTCATTAGAATGGACACCAATTTATCCAATGTGTGCAGGCTTAATATAATAGTCAGTAATTGTACAAGTATTTATTCAGACTTTAAAAGGCACTCTGTAGACAGATTGAGCCTAAGTGGGTTTGGAATCCTTGATGCTTTGCATATTTCAAACTGTACCTGTTATTCAGAAAGTCTTGCGCTTAGCTCTTGCCAACTCAGTCTGCAGTTTTCACTTCTTCACTTTTCACCTCTCAAGCTCTTCCTTCATAGATCAAAGAGTATAATTAAGGATTGCTTCAGATCAGGAAATGTGTTACTGTTCTGTTCATTAGAGCAGATAAAGACAATTCCATTGACTATCTCTTACGCTAATCTTCTATTTCTTTCAATTTTCTTGTGATGTGGATGTATGTTGACTGCCTTTTTTTGTTTGGTCTTCAGTAAAGCAAGAGGAAACAAAGTTGACTGAAGTAGAGTTCTCTGGGTGTCATGCTATTCCTCTTCCTTTTAATTTCTTTTTCTGAGTTATTAGAACACCAGAATTATTTTTAAACTTCTCTTGCTGTTAGAGTGAGTTTTAGAGTTACTGGAAACTGTTCTTTGTATTTGACACAACTGATTTGAGTACTTGATAGGGGAGTATAGAGACTAGGACCAAATTGTAATTCTTGGGCTTTTTTCTCCACTATTGATTATAGATTCAGCAGTTAACTGAGACGCTAAAGAGTGTATCGTGTGAAAAAGACCAGTTATTGGCTGAAAGAACTAGTCACTCTTTCCAACTTAAAGAACAAATCTCATCAATTAATCGAGAAAAAGATGAGCTAGAAAAACTTCTCCGGGATATCAGCTCTGAGCGGGACCAGCTCAAGACAGAATTGCAAAGAAATTCTGAGATGGTTGGTGTTGCAAGTTGCATACCTAAGTTATTCATAACTTCTCTTCTTGAATGATACTTAAATATGTATGCTTTTATTTTAGTTTGTTGAAGCAAATGCAAAACTAGAATCTGCTCTAGACCAACTGAAGCAGAGAAACCTGACTGATAAGTCCATTCAGGTGGACCCACTGGATAATGCAGAGCAGGTGGTTGATGACAGCCTGAAGGAAAAAACCTTGAAAATTAAGGTAAACTTACTTCTCTGCTTATTTTAAGGATGCATGTAAAACCTTAATATCACTTGTCCTGGAGCGTAAACCTTGCTTCTGTGTATAATGTATAAAACTGTTTGCATATCTTGCTAAGATGCTGCAAACCATGGGACCCGTCAATTTGCTGTTGCTGTTCAGTGACCATGCATCTTGTTCTGAGAATAAATTGAACTTCTCACCTGAGACATCTCACTTGATTTCCTTACTGTCCAGCCACCCCAATGAAAATAACTAGTCATGTAGAAGTGCCTCAGCATTTTGGTTTTGCAAAATCCTCCCAAATCCCCCCTTCCATTACTCCCTGTCAAAAATTAATCTATTTCAAATAAATGAATTTCATTAAATAGCTTCTCTCCTCAAAATAGGAAGCTCTTGTAATTCCTCAGAGCTTTTGGTAATTAACTATGCTGTGTATACTTTCTCATATATGTGAGAACTACTACTAACCTACTGAAAGCCAAAATAAACCAGGATTTATGAATAATATGTATGAACCTCTTTAAGGAGTACCATTGTACTGCAGTCTGTGTTAAGTCTGTGCAGCAGATTCAGGCATCATTGTATGCACGCTAGAAAAGCCCAGAGTGCTTCAGTTAATGCCAAAAGTGGTAAAGGACCAAATTACAAAAATCAGTTATGTGTAGCTTTCTCCATTCACACTGACGTTCCATCCTACATCAGCAGTAGGGAGCTAATAATGAGTGAAGTAAACATCAGTTGATCTCTTGTAATGGCACTCTCCCCTTCTGACTTCTGTAATAAGTAAGATCATGTCTGCCTCTTTCTTGTGCAGTTTCTTCAGTATCTTGTACTTGCTCCTGTTGGACACAGGGCATGTGTTAGTTCCAGTGTGTTTACTGTGGGCTGAAGACTTAACACCAGTTGAATCCTGCTTCTTTCAACTGAGAACCAAAGGTGGAGGCAGTATGCCTAGGAAGTGTTATACTTATTTTAAAATGTATAACCTAGCTTCATTTGTGATACTTGAGTTGCAGTTTACTGAGAGTGCCTTGAAGCCTATTGCATTTCTCAGCCTGCTCGCTGCGTGCTCACATCTCCCTTTTTATGGCAGAGTGCTAGGAACAATTTCGTGATCCCTTTCTTTCAACAAAGGACCAAGTAGGTCAGCTTGGGAGCCTATCCTGAGGGCAGCCCAGCTGGCAAACTTGTGAACAGGGAACAACTTCATTTCAGGCCTGATCTACAGGTCTTGATGTGGCCAGGCGATTTAAATCATGAAAATAATTTGAACTTTTGAAATGATTTTCTGGAAAATGAAGAAATTCTCGGCTTTTGTGCCTGGCTTAGTGATCTTGTCATATTCCTGTGCCAAGTCAAAACTGAAATCTTAGTCCTAATAACTTTTCTATTGTGAAACCAATACATACCATAGGGGTTGGTCTGATGGTTTATTTTAAGCTTCTCTCTATATCTAATCACTCTTTTCCTTATTGTGACTGAATAAATTTGTTTTACTTGCATCTAGGAGCTTCTTGAGAAATTCCCAAATATAGGGAAGAAGTATGAATGTCTCTCTACAGTGTCTCTTAATTTAAAGAATGAACTGGATGGTCGGAAAGCACTGATAGCTGTGATACTGACTCGGCTTTCATTGGAACAGAGTAAACAAGTCAAAAGACTTCAAACTGAAAATGAGAAAATAAACAGTCATCTCCAGAGTTTATTGAACAAACTGAAGGTACCAACTTAAAACGCTGAATCTGTGGATGCTTCGTATTGCTTTGGTTTGGGGTTTTTTAATAAGCTCTCAATATTAACAGCTAGGATTCTATATACTCTAGCTTTGATTTTTGTGAATCCATCTCTTGTAGAAAATGAATTGCAAGTAAATGCTTTACAATCCTGGAAAACAGGAACTATTTAGTAAAGTTAATCAACCTTAGTTTTTGACTGTAGTTCATCTGCTTTGCGCAGTATTTCATTAATATTAATCTGTTTTAATTGGGAAAATAAATTTTCTTTCTGTACTCCATAATTCAAATTATGAACCCCTAAGCATGTATTTTATTCTGTATGTATGCTATATAGCATGTGTGAACCTAATTTTCTTAGTCATGTTGTCCTGGACCTCTATGGACTAGGAGAGTAAACAAAATGAATTATAAAATGTGGAATTTTAGCTGGATGCAGGGTACCATTTTAAAGCCTACTCACTGATACATCCTGTGCTTCTACAACAGTTTCTGTTCAGTCGTGTTTGCTCAAAGAAAAGAGAATATCATGCTACTGTTAACAAATATGAAATGGACTTGCTTGAGGAAAAGAGAAAACAAGATCAGCTACGAGCTCAGATTCAGTGTCTCAGGAAGATTTATTTGAACCAGAATGAAACATCTTCTCAAGAGTTAAACATCAGTGAAGTGCTGCGGAGTTTGCACTCGGATGCAGAGGTAGTATTTGAAACAATTTTCAGACAGAAAGACTTGCATATTTCAAGGCATGGGATAACGTGGTGGTGCTAATCTAATGGCATTGCTTTTGTCTATTAAGACTTCACTTTAAGGAAGGGATAGAATTTGTATTTTTTTATGCTGCTAATTTTATAATACAAAGATTCTGGTTTATGAAATGGCTCAAAATGAAATTATTGGTTATAAAATAGTGGGAATGTTATCTACTCATTTGCCCTGTCAAATACATACTACCAGATACCAAGATGACTTTTAAAACAAAGAGAAACTTTTACTAACATGCTTTTTCTTCCCTTTCTCCTTCCCACCTGCAACAGGAATGTAGACTGTATTCTCATTTTCTCAGTGGGGTGTAATTTAAGTATAGTGAAATTCCTTTTATATGATAATTAAATGCTAAAACAGACTTCCTGCAAACATTGCTTGCTAAGAGGACACAATCTATATTTAGACATGTAGTTATCAAAGCAATATTTAAACTTGGATTCCATCTTGTTTTTTAAAGAGCATTCTCAAAGATGTATCAGAAATGGAAAGCGAACTTCTGTGCATAGAGGCAGAGTTACAGCAGGAGGAAAGTGCTAGAAAAGAAACAATGCAGTTCTGGGAGGCTTGTTCAGGAACTCACTGTGATGCAGAGAAACTTAAAGAAGAGTTAAAGAAAGATAATGAAAGGCTTTTACAAGTCATTAACTTCTGGACTCCTAAAGTAAAGGTAAAGTTAAATCATCTTTAATCAGAGATGTATTTTGTGTAAGCACTCTGTAAATGCCTCTAATCTGTTAGAAAACAAAAGACAAAAAAAGGCTATTTAAAGATTATTCGTTACTATCAGCACTTATTGTATTCCTACTTGAGGATGTAGGAATACATAGAAGATTTTTTTAAAGACTTGTTTTCTCATGCATACGAACTTGGAAACCTGCTTTGTAAAAGACGTTCTAGGTAATAAATGGGGGGGGTGTTGTTTGTTTGCATCTTTAGACTGAACTTCAGAAACTGTAGGTTCAAAACTGTTATATAGCTTTGCCTGCAGAACTTGGCAGCCTGATACAATCGCTTTCTCCAAGCTTTATGCCCACAAGATTGTCTGGTCTCTTCAAACCAACTTTATCAAAACTACTTTAGCCATTTTAAAAACTCAGTTGTAACTTTTATTCTCACACCTCTTCTAAAATTAGAAAATCAAGTTATCCTGGAGGTGATTCAACCTGCCTTTCGCTCTTCTTTCTTTCTTACCTCTTGCTCCCTTTGGGGAAAAAAAAGGACAAGTGTTTTACAGGGTTAAATGTATCATGAACAGGATTTCATGAGATTTCATCTTTCTGATTATTAAATGGATTGAACACTTCTCAAAAAACAAGTTATAGGAGGGAATCCATTACCTTCTGATTAGTTGTTAGGAACAGTCTTCCTAACAAGTCTATCCTGGAAACTCCTGGTCTGTTCCTACTATTACTCCTTCTAGTAGTATTGATCTGAAGTATGAAGAGCTCATCACCCTCCTTACTTTCACTACTTATTTTCAGATACTCCTTCAGCTTTCTTCAGAGCTGGATACCAGAACTGCCAGTTATTGTGAAAATGCTGATGTTGAATCAAAACAAAGAAAAGAGAAAAGTGAAGAGTTGCTTCAGGAACTAAACACTCTTAAAGAACAACTGGCCCCTGGTGGCTCTGCCAGTCTTGCATTAGAAGAAGAAAACTACAGACTTCATAACAAATTAAAGGCTGCAGAACAAGATATAAAGGTACCAATATTTGTTTCCAAGGAAAATTTCTTTGATGCTTGTTTTCTAAGTGAGAGTACTTCAAACTGAAAAAAAGAAAAGTAAAGATTGACGGCAACTGTAAATCTGTGCCACACAATACATTGGCCTAGAGCGCACTTTATTTTTGTAGCTTTCGATTCCCAAAGTGAAAGTCTGAGCTCTTGTCTGTAACGTGATTACTTTAATTGCCTGGGTTTTGTATATAAATAGATGTCAGCTTAGAAATCCATATGAAATGTTGCCATATGTTTTTGAAGTATTGATTTTAAGTGTGATACTCTTGATGCTTCCTTTAAATATACGGTATTCACTATGTCAAACTGGAAGCTGTGCTCTTACTGTTATATCTCTTGGCATAACTACTTGTAACTGATTGATATATTTCAATAGGCTATGGAAGTAAAAATTCAGAAGCTGGAAAATGTAATAAATGAAGTAGGAAAAAATGTCAAAGAGAAAGATGACAGGATAAGCAAGTTACAAGCACAGTTAAGAATAAAAACAGAAACAAGTGAGCTCACCCAACTGCAAGCCAAATTGAATGAGACAGAGAAGTCCCTCAGAACTGCCCTGACAGAAAATCAGAGTCTTCAGGTATGAGCAAAATACGTTACTCTTCTCAAGCATGCTCTCACTCTCTGAGATCAGAGGAGAATGAGAACAACTGTAGATGAAACGTAGCTCTCTAAAGTCAATTTATTGTTCTGTATGGCATTCTTAGAGTAAAACACTCTACTTGCTTGTTTAGCATGCAGTCTCACATTCTACCAACGCCGCATTTGGAACCAAAATGTAGAACCCGTGTTATGATATCAGAAGCTAAATTTATCACTTGCATGTGATGCATTTCTGAAACATTCTAAAAAAAATATCAAATTTTTAAACTTAAGCGTGAGCTGTTTTTTCTCTAATATATTTGCATACTAGTTCAAAATTCCCAGACTTACCTGCAAAGAAGTCAACAAAACTTCCTAAAATATGGTTGCATGTAATACACCAGAGTTAGGATACGAACTAATCCAATAGTGCTAGTTGGTAATGTGGGCATTTGTACTCCAAAATAACTTCCTGCTCCTGGTCTTGTCCTGCAAAATCTAGCAGATCATAGTACAGATGTGAAGTAAGTGACCCTTGAATTCATTGCTAAGTAACAAGCCTTTCTTCATACTAAATCTTTTATTGTATTTTCAGGCAAAATTAGATAAAGGTGCTGAGTTGTACAAAGAAGAAATTGATCATCTCAAAACACAATTGGTAAAATACGATATGGAAAGAATGAAACAATCCAACTCTTTCGATAGGAAGTAAGTTCAAATTTTACCTTGCTACAATTTTTGACTACTTAGTGCTTAACTTCTACTCTTCTGTTTTGTTTTTTTTTCACAGAATAAGTAGTAAGTATTCAGCTTTAGGTGTCCTAGGTTTTTATTGTAGCTAGATTCCAGAGAAAGTAAAAACCATGTGCATCTCGGGTTGATTACAAAACTCCTTCCCTATACACCCACCAAACTTTCTCAACCAACCCATGTTCAGCCATAAATAAAATAACTGTTCTGACAAAAGAAAGCGAGGGGAAAGCAGTAATTGAAAGTACTCTCTAATTCACTGGAGAGAAAGGATACAGAGAGAATAATTCTAGTCCAACTTTTGGTTTTCTGCACTTTACCTGAAATCTAACTGACAACCTGGTTTATTTACCTGTATAACTTGGGTATGTTTGGCATTTGATAGCTCATTTGGAAATCAAGCTAACTCTCCTGCACCTGTAATAACTATTAAACTGATAATTTCTTTTTTTTCCTTCCTCCCTTCCTGCCTGTTATAGACTTGCTAATTATAAAGCTCTTGCAGAACACCAGGAACAACAGTTAACAAAGCTAAAAGAAGAACTTAGAAGAGCGCACCAAGAGCAAGATGTTACTGGTAAATTTAAGATAAATATAAGGGACTCATGTTAAACCTTCAGTTTTAAGGTTGTATGGTTAAAGTACAGACTGAGATGCAGGCCTTTTACCTTAAAGGGTACAAGGAAAATTGGATACGTTGAAAGATGAAAACTAAAGTATAAATGTTAGCTGCACATACACTGCATTAGAATCACAGCAGTTCTTGTGTTTATTCCTCCAGCCATGTTTGCACTTGTGGTGGGATAAGCTGCAGTTGTAGTAGCTCACACTGCTGCTTTTTCCTTAATTGACTGCACATATGAGTAAGTAGTTCTAGTCATAATTATGATATACCTGAAATTATAACTGTTTTAACTCTAAATGGCCCAATGAAGAATCTTTTAAGTTTCTCAATCGCTCCCTGGCAGTGTGAATGCTGGGAGGTGTGTTTGTGCATAAAAAAGAATAGCTGTTGGAATGGCAGTTGTAACCCAGTGAGGTTTTACCTAAAAGACTATAGGAAGGAATGGGCTAAAAAATAGATTGACTTGGTTTTAAGCACTGTCCAAATAACACACACATCTGTATAAAACTGTTTTCTAGTGGTGCTGGACAAAAAGGCTCCTGAGCAATCCCAAATACCCCTTACTTGCGGTGGTGGCAGTGGTATTGTGCAGAGCACACAAATACTTATTCTAAAATCTGAACAAGCTAAACTACAGAAAGAGAACTTGCACCTGAAGAAACAAAATGACCTTCTACTAAGGTAAGTATAAAGGTGATCAGCAACATGTCAAATCATTTGTTGCTATTAAACTATGTGTGTCGCAAGTGTTTCTTTCTGGAAGACCTACAGAAGTGAGTGAGTAATTTTAGATTTTTCTAAATTCTTTCACATCATGAACTCTTATTTAAAGGTATTGATTTGTCACTTATATATCTTTATGGCTTTTGAACTTTAAGTTGCTTGCTTTCATAAGAATCTCTTAAATGCTGGAAGGAATACTTAAATTGTATGTTGGAAGGAATTCTAGCTTAAATTTAAAAAATTGTCTGAAAGCAAGATACACAGATAGGGTTTTGCCTTGCCATGTCTGTGGTATGTTGTCTGAAAATATAGGAACTGTCTGTTGTCAGGTATTTTTTTCCTTAGAGGAACTACTTTGAATCTTTCTTAACGAAATGCTGGGGTTTGTTTTCTTTTCAGTAATGAGCTTCAACTGAAAGAGGAACTTAGAAAATGGAAAGAAAGAGCACTGAAATTGAAAGAACGATCCTCAAGAGAAACCACTCGAGAGACAGTACCAAGGTCTCCACGGAAGACTGTGTCATATTCCCTTAAAGAGCAAATGCCTTCACCCTCCAAGGAACCTATTGCTCAGGAAATTGTGACTCAGGACATATCAAAGCCTCTGCCACTGACTTATCCAACAAATTTCTTTGATAATTCCAACTTGGGTACACTAACAGGTATGTAACAAAGTGGTGGTGTCCTGTAAAGATTTGGAGAGGCGGAATTTAAGGGGTAGTCTGTGAGTTGAAGGTTAAATGCTCTGTACGTTCTATTTTCAGACCTGAAACTTGCATGATAACACAGTTTTCCTGAATGGTTAGCCAGCTGACTGTTGAAGGGCTGACCGGCTGCAGCTGTGAAGCTTTTATGTGCTCTACAAAGCCTAAATACTTAAATGAATCCTTCACCCCCTGAAGATTATACAAGCTGGGGTTTTTTTTCTTTTGCTGCAGTGGAAGTGTTGATGGCTGACTTTAAAAAGTGAATTAGCAGAATATCATTACTAGATAGCTGATGCTCTAAAATGTTTTGCTTTTTAACTTTTACATTGCTTAAGCACAGGCTTGTAGCAAAACTAATTAAAGTTAACTGCTGGTTAATTTTTCTAAACTTCTTCAAGATATGGTAGCCTTTAGTCTTTGATGTTGAATCTGCCAGGCTGCCTGGCTCCAGCTGCAGTAATAGCTGTTTTGATAACTTCTGCTCCTCAGCCCTACTCAGAATTTCTTATATCTGGCCTGGTGACTTCTGAGGAAGTCTCCTAGTGATCTATACTAGCATATTAATGCCACTGCCCTTGTCATTACACTTGCTTCTAAAAACTTTCAGAAGGCCCCAGCAGACATGTTGAAGAGTTCACCAGTTTTCAAGGTATTAATGGGAGACTTCCAGAAAGAATATGACTTGTTGCTGTTTCTTGTGATGGCCAGCTTGGCAATAGTACAGACTTCCTCACAACACAAAGCTCCTCAGAGGGAAGCATTGACAGTTGACTTTTAAAATACTATTAGGATTCAGTTGCTGTATTCCTTTGCTGCTTGTCTGACTGGGAAAGTGTTACTTTAATGTTCTTGTCTTCTGTGTAGATGCACGACCTGCAGGACTAGAGCCCACAGGAGAACATCTAAAGCACTGGTTTGGAACTTCAGAGAAAGATAAGGCCCCTGATTGTACCACCCACTAAAGGCCAGAATTTACATATACAAAAGATAATTGCTTCAGTTCAAAAGTCATCAGCCTCTTCCACAAATTGTGATAACAGCTCTGGTGCCTCCCTTGCTGTCTTGGAGTTGCTACTTCCCACAATTGGAAAAGAACGAGAATTGAAAAGGAGTCATGTTGCCCACAACCTGCTGATCTGATGATGTTCTACTTTGGGGTTTTTTGGATGGCAGAGGAAGAAAAGCCAATGTATTGAAGAAAAAAATGGAAACAAGAATGGATTACAAACTAATCTACTGTGAAACTTCTCAATCTTAAACTTTTCATTCTGTCATTCCTAAAAGCACACTATTCTGGGTGGTCAATATTTGTCTTCAAAGTGCTGTTGAACTGGAAAGAACTATACTTTTTGTTTCTCAGCATATGATTTTTATACTATGCTTTCTCTAAGTCCACAGAAACTGCATTTTCACCAGCATTTTAACCTCTCTATCTGCACACGGCGACTGAAGTTACTAATTTTCTGGTTATAGGGCACACAATCAAGGATTCCTCTTAAACTCCTTATAATATTTCTGCAGCTCGGCCAATTATGGTGCCAAGAGTAACTTTGCATTTTGCATCGTCTTTCAATATACTTCTAGTTCCTGTCTTAAGTTGGGTATAGGAATTTTTTTAATAGTAAGCAATGGACCTGACACTTTTCTGCTACTCTACTGAATGGAAAATGAACTGGATGGTCAGGGCTGCAAGATGGACTATTTTACTAGCCTGCTTATCTATGTTGTGAGACTTATTTCTTTGTATGTTTTGTATAAGAAGGTTTGTTTTGACAATAAACTTTATGTTAAATATTTAAAAATATTTTTGCTGGTCACTTGTGCTATGATGTAAGGATGTTGATTACGATATTCAGTGTCTAAAGACTGTCTTTTACAGTAGTCTCACCACTTCCATGTATTTTGGGCAGCTTTTCAAGATACTGCTAGGCAAAAATACACAAGTTCTAAATACTGTTACTCAGTTCAGCACTGCAATGTCTCCTTTCCTGCCAGAAGCATAGGTTATGGAGGAGCAATTTATTTCTGGACAGTGATAAGTGCAAAGCGCTAGTGTGTGTAGTGGGTTTTTTGTTTTGGCATTGGTTGGTTGGTGTTTTTTGGTTTGGTTGGTTTGTTTTTTCAGTTTCCCACTATGATTGAAAGGATTTCATTTGGCTACCTGTTTTTTATTTTAATTCCCTCTATTTTGGTGTTCTAATAAATGAATTAACTGACTTTTTCCTTCCACAAGGGAAGGGGGGAAGGTGTATATATATAGATCTACCTCTTTTATATGCAATTTCAGGGTTTTTTTTGTTAAATATTGCTTGGTTGGAGCATTTCTAGATTTGGAGACTTCTGGTGATTGAGTTGAAAAGCAGGAACCTATTGTAACAGGTCTGTGTCTGAATTCAGTTGGCATAAGGTTAGGGACAGAAAGATAAATGCTTTTAGAAAACTGAGTCATTAAAGGTTTTGTTTACTGGGAAGCTGATTTTACAAAGCCTTAGAAAGCTATCATAGTTTAGTAGGAAGACAAGATAAACTTAATATTGCTGAACTTAGTGCTTGTGTATCCCAGTTTACCCACAGAAATGGGTTTTCTGAGGAATACGTGCCCAACTGAAGTTCAGGCAGGACTCCAAATTCTTTAAGAATGCTGTCAGGGTAGCTTTAGGTCTGGTGTGAGCTTATAACTACATTAGTTTGCCCTAGAATTTTCTGGTCTGGTGATATTAACTCTGCCTTTATAAAGGTAAATTAAACCACTAGATACAGAAAGAAAACGTTAAGTTGGTAAATCACCAGTTTAACAAACCAAAACCCCACAAAATTCATCATGCAAGTATTGTTCTAGTTTGGAATTTGATAACTTACATTGCTAAAGAGAGATTGCTTGGGAAAAACATGTTTGTGGCCTTTTTTTGGTGGGAATCCTGGTGATTTCTTGAATTCCTTAGGGAAAATGGACAGCCAATGTTGGTGATCCTTTTTTTGTCCTTCCCTGTGCAGGAGAGAAACCACGCTTTTAAAATGCTGAGGTTCACTAGATGGCAGCATCTCGGTTTCAACAGGAAATTACGTTCATATAGAGAAACTTAGCAGTTAGACTACAAATCCCAACAAGCATAGCAAAGTATAAAACTTCCTTTTGTACAAAGGTCAGAAAATACAACAAGCCGTTTGAGAGCCCTTGGTGAGTGACTATACTAATACTTATTTTTAAATGCTTCATAGAATCAGTGTGGCAAATGTTAATAAAAATGGATTGTTAGATTGAAAAATGTATTTATAGTGCATTTTGCTTCCAAAGCATTAGGGTGATTTGGGGAAGTACTTGAACTGATCAGTTTGGGTTTTTTTTTTCCACTGAAAATATGTACGTGATGACAAAGAACAAGAGCGAGCTTCCTCTGCCTTGAGGGGACACTTTGAGCACATTGACATACTCAGGACTTGCTACAGTTAATAGAATCTTTCCCAGAATTTTGTGTTTGAGGAGTTGCATTTTGGAAAGCTTGGTCTGTTAGAGAGACAGTGCAACCTAGTTGTGTGTGTAATCTCATTTTGCTCGGTTAACTTGCTATTTTTTACCTGTCAATGCAAAAAGGTTATGTTAAGACAGGCCCAATTTCATATAACCTTAGGTAACCTACCATCAGAGGCAGCCAAAGAGATGTCTTTTTACTAGCCAACCTAAAAAGTGATTTTAAGGTACTGTGCTTTCCCCTAATTAGAAGTGTATCTCAGTTACTGTTTGTTTAGGAGACTGTTCTGTTGTTTTGTGCTTGCTTTCTTTCTGCGTGTGTGTGTGTCCCAGTTATGGGGGGGGAACCAACAGTTGGAACATTTCAATGACGTGAAATATGGTCTCTAACTCAGTCTGACTTTAACTAAAAACTCTTTCCATTCTAATATAAAAAAAAACACATTACCTCTTTTGATTTAAACTGCTCCAGAAGTCTGCTTTGTTGAATCTGTAACCTTCAGGGGAACATTAGTTTTGCTGCAACTTTTCTCAGGAAAAGCTGCTGGAAAAAAAAAATTCTGGTCAAAATCAGAGAAATTAATAATCTGGTTTAAGAGGTAGGACACTAAATTCAACTCAGTAATCTGAGTCACAGCGTGGATTTGAGCATCTCTAGATGACAGCATTGGTTGCTAACCTAGGGGAGATTATGGCATCTTTATCTTGACTTCACTGAGAAGTACTCATTATGTTGGACTCGTGTATATATCTAAGGACTTCAGGTTCTTGGAACACTTTTCTACACTCGTAACTACATAAACACATTTTGCTCTGTGGAGTCTAAAAATGCTGAAAGCTTTGCGTATTGGGAACCCAGTTGACAAACACCAGATACCGCACTCTGACTGGAACACAGTGACCTTCATTTTAGGCAGTTCTTTGAAACATCCTATGAAGTAGTTTACTACTTAAGTAACCAAAAATCCTACTGGAAACTTTTTTGAATCCATAGAAGTGTGAGGATGGCGTTTGCTTTTTACTTGTTTGTCTGCAACTTTACATGCTGTATTTCTTTAAACATAATGCAGCATTAGAAAGTGTGTGCTAGGGTGGAAGAGAAGAGGGCTACGTTTTGCCTTTGGCTGCTACACCTTGAGTAAGGTGGAACCACCTAGGGATTCCCTGCCGCTTGCCCCAAGCATGCTCAGTAGCTCCTTGAGAGCAAGCGAGGCAAGACAGGACAGAGCTTCATTCCTGCCTTGTTGGAGCTGGGAATCTGCTGTGCTGGAAGATTCCTAAGACAATTCAGGGCAGACACCAAGGCCGGGATACTGTGTGGAATTTATTGCAATCTAGGAAGCTGATGAGTTTGTTGCTTGAGAGGAGTAGAAGAAAGACCCGCTTTCTAAGAACACAATGGAAGCACTAGATTACAAGCTATTGGACTTCTGTTTCACCTTGACTTTTTTTCCTGTTTAAAGAAAAATAAAGTCCAGTCTCTGTTATAATAAACCTTAGCTTTTAGGCTCAAATGCCTTTTGATCTTTTTAAGGTCCTTACTTATGGGGACAAAAAAAAAGTTGAGGCAGTCCTCCCCTCAGAACCCTGGATGACTCAGGGTCACGCTGCAGCCAAACAGGACAACTTGTGGTATGATTTGATGGCAGAGGTACTCTGAATCACGTCTAGTTATTTTGGAATGCACGTGTATCTCATTCCCAGGGAGTGTTGTTGGCTCATCTTTCTGTTAACGATTCTGTGACATCTTCTCTCTGCACAGGTCAGCAGTATGGGTCGGCTTGATGGGAAGGTCATACTGCTGTCTGCAGCTGCACAGGGGATAGGACGAGCAGCTGCTATAGTAAGTTGGGAAAATGTTTGTTCTCCTGTACCTAAGCTAGGTCTCTAATGCTAGCTTGTCCAACGACACCTGCACCAAACAACTTCTAATAAACCATAGATGAAGCCAGAACTACCCAACTATTAAAAAATTCAGGGAATTATCTAGTCACTACACTGTATCATGCATTCTTTCTGCTGTTTGAATTTCTGAAAGTCTTCAGCTCTGAGTGGTGTCGTTAGGCAAGGATAAGAGCAAGATTTGAGAACACCTGCAACTGCTTTTGAAACAATATGTGGTTGGTATTGTCTGTACCTTTAATCCAATATCTCTGCTGCTTTGTTCTGGGAGAAGATGAGGATAGAAGGAATATTTCCTGTTATGAGGCTGGATGCTGCAAAGATCCTCTACAGTAAAGCCAAGATATTTTATCGACATCAATAGTTGATGTAACTAAGTCTATGCAATACGACGTACAGCATAGCTACAACGTTGGTCACAATGAGCAACTGTGAGAAAACCTTTACAAATTTTATTTAATTACTGTTAAACAGAAGTCTACATGCTTATTGACTTTCTGGTTACCTTTTAATTCTTTTTGACCAGTTCTTCCCCTGCTACTTCCTTTTTCCATAGCAGACAGAGAAAGTAATAGAGTTATCTCAGCATCTCCGTAACGTAATCAAGAAGGCTGTAAAAGCTCCTGTAAGTAGGATTTTTGCCAGACTAGTTAGTTTCTCATGCACACAGTTAAGAATGCAGAAGACTGTTGATCTTGGCACTTAGACTAAAACACTCTGTCCAAGGAGTAGGTAATTTTCCTGATGATTTCACTCTGTAAATACCCAACAAGCCACACAAGGCTGGCATGTTTAATGCCAGCATCCTCTTAAGCTGCACTTGAGACGCTTATTTTGAAGATTAGGAGCTACAGTCTGAGACGTCAGAATACTTTTGATACAGAGGTTACTTTGTTAGCGTAGCTGTTGATTTATCACTAATCACAATGCAGAGAAAGCAGGTTCTGAGGGGAGCATCAAGAATGAAGGAATATGGTTAAGTATCAAAGAAAAGTGATGCTTCTTTTAATATTGCTCTATTCCAATTATTTGAATGCAAAGGATTTTCAGGAAGTTTATATACCACCAGTCCTTTTCATGACTTGTGCCTTTACCTGTCAAATCTCTTAACTTCATTTAAATCCAGCAATACAGACAATTCTAGCCCTACACGTTTGTAACAGGATTGCTAGTGCACATGCAGCTAATAAGGGCAATAATAATACCAGTTGTCTTAGTCTGGTTACTGTTCTTACACTTTATTTATGGATTTCTTACTTTAAGGAAAAGATCTTAAATCTGATTTATCTATAGTTACTTAGTTGTCCCCAGGATGTGTGGTACCTGATGTCCATTACTCCCTGACATGCCCAGAATGAAAAGTGAGAGATCAGCTGCCTTCAGCCAGCTTCTATTTCAAGCCAAAAAGGAAACGAGAAGAAAACAGATTTTATTTCTGGTAAGATCTAGAATATCTAAAGATAAATTGCTTCTCTTGTATTCTTCAGGCTTTTGCTAAAGAAGGAGCCAAAGTCATTGCTACAGACATCAATGAGTCTAAGCTGCGAGAACTGGAGAAATATCCAGGTAAATGACCTACAGTAGGCATTAGTTCAGCTCTTGCAAGTTGTGTTGTAGACTGGCTGAAATATAATTGGAGGGTAGGGCAAACTTCAAAAGGCCAGAAAAAATGGAAAATATCCAGACTAATCCTTTAGATGTTGGCATTGCTTTATTCTATGGTGTGGAATGGCAGAGATTGGGCGTGTAATGTACTGTGACATCAGCATATCAGTGTGTTATTCCAGGCACGTGGAATAACTGAGTTTCTTGTGTCACAGGAGCAGTTGATTTCTGCTTCCCAGAATGGCACCCATTTCAGTTACCTTTTGAGATTACTAGGCTTTGCCAAACGTGGCGTGGAATGTTTTTCTCTGATCACAAGAACTAACACTCAGCTATACAGAAAGTAGATGTAGTGTCTTGCACTTCCATGGTCTGTACTTACTAAGGAATGCATGAAAAAGTTTGTGTGTCTCCAGAAACTAATTCTGCCAACAGTAGATAACCCTATTGTGTTTGTAGAAATGCTCAGCCTGAAGATTTCTTTCTTACTGATATCACAGGAACATACTTCAAGGAGCACGTTTTGCATAGCTGTGTTTCCGAATTAAGAGTGATACAAGTGTGGGACGTTATATTAAAAAATAATTTTTTCAATCTTGAAATGTAAAATAAGATTTGGATGTGTGTTACAACTGAAAATGCTTCCAACTTAATTTGATGGAAGGAAGTGGTTTTAATGACAATGAAACAGGCAAAAATGCTTTTCTCTGGCACAGCTTTTAGAGTGAACATCGATCTCTACTGACAGGAGTTCACCACAAGCAATCCCTTTGTAATCCTTTGG